TGATGCCCTGCACTCAATCTGAACAAACAAAAGTTTTCCATTCTTCTTTTCTTTCCCCTTTCATTTTCTTATGAATAATTCAACCCTAAATCTATGTAATTTCACAAGACAGGGGAAATCCCATAGCTGGAATTATGGGAATAGTTTGAATGTTGTAATAAAGGTGTGCATGTAGGAGTTTACCATGAAGAGGAATCAGAGCACAACCACAACAAGAAGGGTAACTATGTAAGTGTGAGGTTGATAGGTGGCAGGAGAGTAGACTGTTAAAACTTCAAGAATGAGGACAAGATGACTGTGAATAGGAATCAACTGTCCTTGGTGGTTAGAGTCCTGCTCAACTGGAGAGGTGATGCCTTCTCTTGATCTCTGAAGGCATGAAGTGAATGTTACATGGGACAGTTGATCCTGTAAAGCTTTAAAAATCTCAGGCAAACAGGGTCTGTGTAGTTGTCTGACCTCATGTGGATTGCAAGAGCAAGATGAGCAGATGCCCATGGAAGTGGTGGTTTAGTATTAAATGTGTAAACACTAGTATGATGATGAGGAGAACATTCCTAAGGAGGGGACACTGGTAAGAATAGGACATACATTAAATATAGCCAATTAATTAATCAAATTATAAATAATTAATTAAAATAAGCCAGAATTGGCATTGTAATGTCAGATTATAGTTTGCTGGCAAACTGGGGAAAATGGGAATTCTATGTTGAAATAGTTTAATAAAAGGTACGGAGCCTGACTTCTTGTGATATTCCTAAGCATATACAAGCTTACTGTAAATATCAGATAGACTAGATAGCCTTACCCAAGGAGAGTCACATCAGGCTGTAAGAGAGTGATTAACTCTCATAAAGATTTCAGCCCTCATGGGCTCCATTTGGCCCTGTCCTTTGTGCTGATACTAAATTATATAACCATTTATGTCATCCCTGCATTGAAAAGAATATTTTACATTAAATATTTAGGAAGAAAAAGAGATTTACAGTAATTTCTTTATAAAAATATATAATTTTTAAAAACATTTAAAATTTTTCTTCTATATTAATTATCATTTGATTCATCATTCACTTGTTAGTCTTTGGTTTCTTTAATGTGATTTTCTATTAACACAATTTAAAATGATGCTGGAGTCGTTTATCTGCAAAGAATATGTATGACAAATAAAAGTGCTTATTAGAAATATTAACAGTATTGTTTGCCATGTGTTTTGATTTGTTCAAATATATTTGATTACAGATATAAATTATATATACAGTTTAGGAAAAATGTAATTAATAATTTAAGGATTAATTGAGTCAAAATAATTTGTTTAATCTAACAATTTAATTGCAAGTTGCTCTGATATATGTACACAATGTAATAAATATTTAGCATGTGTTGAATGATACAAATAATATCAAAGAATTTAATGCTTTAGCAAATATTTGTGCATTAAATGCTTTTATTATTTGCTTAGGCATGAGTTAATTTGAGATAAAATGATTAAAACCTAACACAAACTCCATTTCTATGTTTGTGATTTTAAAGGATGCTGACGATGTAATGACTGTATCATGTAATTAAGTATGAATTAGAAATGCTCAGATTTGTCTGTTATTCATACACTCAATAGGTCATTAATTCCTACGAGTATCTATTACATAAGGATTAATCAACCCTTGAAGGGTTCTATAAAATCAACCTAACTGGAGTTAGCCATTCAGGATTTCAATTGTCCCTGCAATACTTGGTCTTCTGACCTCATTGACATTTTGCTGTAATTAAAAATCAAAAAGCCTATGACAGTAGCTAAAAGGGAAATCATCAACATTCACCTCAAGAATTTCTAGAATCAGCACAATATTCTTGCTTCTTTATGTTGTTCCTGCTGCTAGCTCCTTCTGAATATTCCTAACTCCGTTGCAATTTCTATAAGGGTCAGACATAGAGTCCTAGGAATGTTTCAACCATTAGCAATAAAATAATAACTATGGGTCATCTTTTGGTATTTCACAAATAAACTCAATACATCCCAATTTGACCAAAGCCTGACTATAGGTAAAGTTTTGCTTTAAGGCTGTGATGATACTGTACAACAGAAGAACATTTTTTTTTTCACAGAAAAGAACATAGAAAATTTTGCATTAGGAAGACTCTGGTCTCTACTCTATGCTCTTCCTTTGATCTATTTTGTTTCTCTATAAAAAGCTAACATTGTGAGTATAATAGCTTCCCTGAGAGTCCTAGCCATTTGTTAAATCTGATAGGTAGCTCTGTGAACACCCCAGACTTGTAGTTGTGTCAGAAGTGAGGCACATCTTGAGGACTGAGCACGTACAGCCTCACAACTGTGATGTTTGAGTAACTATGAAATCTGGGCCTATGTAAAATCCTGACATTTTTCTTGTCTTCTATTTGTCTTTCATATTCATTTGTTGTTAATCAGTGCAGATCTTGCTGATGTATCCAGAACAAACCTGTTCTTTAGTTCCTGTCACAGGTCTACTTGAGGACACCATTCTTTCTCAAACCAGATTGCAAGATAGCCTATAATAGATGTTTTGAATCTACTATGTCTTCTTCCAACTGCATTCTAAAGCTATGAATGGAAGTGATACTTCTGCAACATAAATTTGGTATGATTCTTGAAACTAATTTCCAAACACACATTGTCTTTCTGTGTAGTCCTTTCTTTCAAGGCATTTCATCACAAGGTCTCTGCTGTGCAGGAATTACACTTTTCATCTTACTATATTAAACTAGGTCATATCATTTGATTTTTAAATTGAAATGCAAGTATATGTGACCTTTTAATATTTCTGAGCATTAGTGTAAGTAACCATTGCATGGTTTTATGGTATCATTTACCTTTTGGCGCATCATAATAGATTTGTTATAGATAAGTGCTGGTTTTTATTTTGGATCCTAAAGAGAAAATGAAGGTGAATTGTATCTAATATTTAGCGTGTACATATTGAAAAAATAGTAATTTTCAATTGTGTTAAAAAAGCATTATATTACAAAATTTATTGCCACATAAATTAGTTCTAGAAGTGTGATGCTAATATAGTAGCAGTCAGAAAACAATAAGGTAAATGGCTTTGGTTTTCGGAAAGATAGAGGATTAAGGGAAAGCTATTATTAGATATTGGATTATAAGATATGTCTATGGTATGTAGTAGTTCTACAGTTATTATAGGTGACTATTGAAATAACTAGAAAAATACACTAAGTGAACTTCTGGCTATGCCTGGGTAAATTAGGGTACAAAATGCTATTTCCTTGCCTCCATTGGTATTAGCTATATTGTACATGGTTATAAGAAGAAGATGATCTGTGAATGGAAGTACAGTGGCAAAGGGCAAAACTGCAACAGAGATGAAAGAAAATACAGACAAAATAAAAATTTGATAAATCCGGGTGGAAGACATAACTGTTTGTCATCACCAAATAAGAAAAATAAATAAAAGATAGTAAAGTATAAGTGAAAACAATAAAGGACATTTAATTTGGGTTTTTCTTGCAAGTACCCTGTTAACCATCTTTGGATTCAGGAAAGAGAGATCAGGAAATGAATTGCCTTCAGACCTATAATTCTGAATGCTAAAATAAAATGTGTGTCTTGAAAAATATTGTGAGTCAGGTGTAATTCCAGTACTTGGGAGACTGGGGCAGGAGGATTGCCATGAGTTTAAGGTCAGCCTGGGCTTCACCTAGTGAGTTCAAGGTCAGTCTGAACTAGATAGCAAGACCCTATCCCAAAAACTAATAACAAAAAAAAAAAAAAAAATATTGTGGCCCGACTACTAACATAAAGAATGTGTTACAATCCAATAGATAAAAAGGCAAATACTGTTTTGAGAAACTATCACTTTTTATTATGTCATGTCTGTAATACATGTAGCTACGTTTGAGACCATTAGTGATACTGTACTTTTCATCCTTCTGTAATCAATCATCAAACACAAAATACGCTCAAGGCAACAGTTTTTCCCCAGTAGAAGGCAAGATGCACAAAAGTATGATTCTTATAAGAAAAGAAAAAAAAATAGAACTTCCATTTGTCTAACCATCCTGTTCCTGTGTTTTTCTTTTTTTCTTGATTATAATATAAGCAGTAAGAATTTAAGTAGATCATGTTTGTCAAACTGAGCTGTAAGGCCAAGATTAGACTTTTTCAAGCCTGGATTTTCAGAGTAGGGAATAAGGTAGAGGTGATGAGCGGGGGAAATGCCCAGAAGTTTACAGAGGATCTTGGCCATTTGCTGGCCAGAAAGTGCACAGAAATATGATGCCTACTGGAGAATAGCTGTGCTGAGGACAAGGGCTGGAGAACAGAAATACCAGAAATGAAAATAGAATTGGAGTCTAGCTAAAGAGATATTGCTAAGTGAGTACTTTTCGCATGCCATTCAGTCCAGTTATGGTTTATATCTAAAGAATTTACCAAAAAGTCTTCATGCGTTCAGAGATGGGGTTTTGGAAGGTGCTGTAGATATCCTCCTGTTAGGAGACAGGGTCTGGTTAGGAGGGATCAGTCAGTCCATTTGGGGAGTAACTTGAAAGGGTGTTAGCTCAGTCCTCAGATCCTCTCACCTGTCTGCTTCCTGGCTGCTCTGATGGAGCAGTTTTCCTCATCCCAGGCCCTTCCACCTTTTATTCTTTAGAGCCAGCAGACCATGGACAAAACTGTGAACAAAAATAAGCCTCTTCTTTTTAAACTGTGGATGTCTGATGTTTATCCCAGCAATGGAAAGTCACTAGGAGTTCCAAGAAAGATCAGCCTTAGACCATGCCCTAGGACTAGTTACAAAATAAATTTATACCTAGTATATCCAAGGAAAAAATTTTTTGCAAGATCAAAAGGAATAGCCAATGGTTTAATTTTCTATCAGCATAAAACTCAATATTTTTAGAGGCTTACAAGACAATCTAAACTTGTTTAAATACAATATTTATGGCTTCCAAAATACAATTATCTTTTATGTTTTTTTAAATGGATTTTTTTATTTTTTCAGGTTTGGTGCTGATGACCGAACCCAGGGCTTCCAGCTTGCTAGGTAAGCGTTCTACCACTGAGCCAAATCCCCAGCCCCTCCAAAATACAATTAAACACACGTGTAGGTCAAAATAATCAAAAAGTTGCATCCATCATAAAGTAGAAAAATTCAAGTGAGACATACTTTAAAATGACCCAGGTGTTATTTGCTGAACATGAACCCTAAAACAGCTTCAATAAATATATATCACAGGAAAATATGCACATTTGAAGAGATAGGAAAATTCAGTTAAGAAATAGAAATTGTATGAAAAAGGAAACATTAAAAATTATATCACTGAAAATTATAGAATCTGAAGTAAATAATCACGAGATGGCTTATATCAGATGTAGCCCTAAAGAACAAAAGCTTTGAATTGAATATAGACAGACTAAACTTACACCATCTGAAGAAAACGGAAAAATTTAAAAATAAAACATATAGAGAATTATGATACAATATGAGGTGTTTTGGAAATATGTAATTGGTGTCTCAGAGGTTATATAACGTGATGTAAAAAAATAATTGAAAAACAACGACAAATTTCCCAAATTTAGTAAAATAATCCCATCATTCTACAAACATAGGAGTCTCATTAAGCTCCAAAAATGACAGCTACAAAAATAATCACACCTATACACATCAAAATTATCAGAATAACAAGCAAAGCAACCAGAAGATAAATGCAAACATAAAGAGAATGACAATGTGAACAACGGCTGATTTCATATTGAATGAGTTCTTCCTATTAACAAAATATCCAAGTTTTAAGTAAAGAATCAACCATAACAGTGCCATGCTGTACTATGTTGGAGTTTAAGGGAAAATCAGTTGTAATATCTACCTGATTTTTTCCTCCTTTGTATGTTGAAAGAATTTTTTTCTGTTAACTCTTTTAATCTTATCTGTCTCTATTTCCATCTACATCTCTATCTCTTTCTGTCTCTTTCTCTGCATCTCCATATCTCTGGGTCTCTATTTGTATTTTTATCTCTGTCTCTAACTTTATGTAGCTCTGTCTCCATCTCTACCTTTTTCATGTATCTGTTTACTGCTGCCTATTTACCTCAGAGTTTCTGGCTGCACGGTTTCTCACAATCATTAGTTATTCAATATTATATTTAATAATAGTTTATCTTTGACTGATAAGATTATTCAAGAGCTCTATTTGTGTGATCCCTGTTTCAATATATTTTCCTGAAAGATCTCTAATAAGCTCGTGTTTTGATTACATTATATGTCATTGTTGTCTATATTGGATGGTATTTTGTTTTTATGCATCTAATCAGGTGTAGCTTCATTATAGGACGAGTGGTGTCATGTCAAAAATTGTTGTCCTTGTTAGATTCTATTAGTGTCAGAGATTGAAATGCAGTAAATATTTTATTGACAAACACAGGAAAATATGTATAGGAAATCTGTAATGAATAGTACAATAATCTAATACTGGATTATCTAATTATACTGATTTGTAATCCTAGTGTATGATACTTTACATAAATTTAACATTTCCTTCAATCAAAGAATAATTACACATTTATATTTCACTTAAAAATAAATGAAAATTTGTTTATTTTATGTTCAGTTGAAAACGAACAAATCTGTAAATTTTCTAAGCTTATTCATCTAGTGATTAAAACCTAAAGATCTGAGAATTGATAGAGTTGAGTTTGAAGGTACTGACACTTACCTTTATTTATTTATTTTGGATTTTCTAAAATGTCATAATAAGATATGATAATAAGATGCATTCTAAGGTACAGTGCCTAACTAGTGTAGTTATGAAAACTGAATTCACTATTATATTTGCATCAGTATAAATATATTGCCTTGTGCAGAATAAATCTTGCATTGATTTGCTGTGATTCTTACATCTATTGTGAACTGCACAGGGCTTTGTCTCTCATGACTTTGCCATGATGATTGTAATTGAATTTGGCACATTGTTTTCTGTAGTTACAAGGTACTTTTTTGTTTATACCTAAGCTGTTCCTCTGGCTTTATCTCCCAACTATTTTATATGTAAATGTTGCAAGCATAATATAAATGTATAACATTTACTAAATACTCCTAGATATTTTTGTGCATATTTCTTTTCTGATTTGGTCTTTTATTTTCTTCTTTCCTTTATATCACCTCCTTCCTTATCTTCTACCCCACCGAGTCAAGTGTCAGGAACTCTCTAGATAAGTTATTCTAATGGTCTCCAACTTTCTGTATGTTTATCATTTACTGCTCAATATTTTGTGTTTCTGTCAGTACAAAGGCCAAAGCTTGGTGCTTATCAAGGCTGTCACAGAGCAGACCTACAGTGAGTGAATTAGAAAGAAATTAAAAAGAAGGAAGGATAGAAGGCAAGAAACTAGGATGAGAGGGAAGAAAGGAGAGGAGGAAGAATAGAAGGAGGGAAGAAAGCAAAAGGGAAGAAGAAAGTCAACTGTGAGTAACCACTGAGCTTTTTTTTTGATTATTGTTTTGCCTTTTCCTGACTGTCATGTAGTTGGAATTATAGACCTACGTAACTTTTTTGGATTAGTTTCTTCTTACTTAGAAATATATATTTAAGTTTCCTCACTTTTTGTGGCTTGAATTTTGGTGGTTCTTTTTAAAATAGTATTCTTTTGTGTGGACATACTCTATTTTGTTTATCTGTCCGCCTATTGACGGATGTTTTGTATGCTTTCATATTCTGGCAAATATAAGTAAAGCTGCTCTCACGTGCAGCTTTTTATGTGCACATTTTAAAGCATATTTTCATGAATATTGATATGTATAGACCAGCTGGATTTTATAGTAAGTATATATTTAACTTTACAAGCAATTACCAATCTGTCTTCTATAGCAATTACACAATTTTGCTTTTTTAAGCAATGATATTTAAGAATTTCTCACTTTCCTTGTCATCTGTAGAACTTGGTGTCATGTTAAAACATGTTATTGAGACACTTGTTTATATCATTTTTAATTATGTTATTAATTTTTTATTTTTGAGTGTTAACAATTTTATGTGATATTTTATCAGGTATTCATCTTGTAATTATTTTTTCCTAGAAGTTTTATTCTATTATATATATATATATATATATATATATATATATATATATATAATTTTTCTTAGATTACATTTTTGATGTTTAAAAATCATACTGGGATTAATCATACTGATGATTACAAAATCATACTGAGAATGCTCAATGTAAGGTCATGGGCTCAATTCCCATTACCAGAAAAGAAGTAACAAGAAAAAAGAAAGAAAAATCAGTATAGTCATTGCCCAGGGTTACCTAGATTTCTTGGATATTTATCTTCTATCAGGTTTTCAACTTTTTGTTTACATTTAGGTCAAACATAATATTGTATTTTCTTGATTGATTTATATTATGAATGCAAATATTCTTTGTGTAATTGTTAAAAAGACCACTTAGAATCAGATATTTTGGGTTCAACGTTGTATGCACCAAGTTATCTGAGGTGTCTTGGTTTAGTCTGTATAAACTTTCTGGTTTCACTGACTGTAAAGTAGAACTAATGACAGTGCCTACGAAATGAGAATAGGCACTTACATGTTTCAGTGTATGATAATTAATGGCAATAATTGCTTTGTGTTGGAAGATAGTTATACACACAATTTCTCATACTCAGTATTACCTGAGTATGAGAAATTGTGTGTATATGTTACGCTGTGTCTGTATATTATGCACTATTGTTTTTCATTATTTTGAAAGTTGTGATTTGGTAGCAGTAGCAAAATCCTATTAACCATTTTTGTTTGGCATTTGAGAAAATCTGTTAGAATTGTGAGCAAAAGTGAAGAAAATTTGGGTCAGGAGTCAAATTCCTTTTAAAATAATAAGGTTATTAGATGTACTTTGTGACATGCACTTTGTAATGAAAGTTTTCTGCCTTCTGAATGGATGTGCTAATGCTTAGTAAGTTGAACTATAAACACAAATATATGTGTTAATACTCTTTGTTATCATGATCTACATCATACAATCACATGAAAATAAATGCCATATACGTTTGAGATATGTAAATGAAAAAAGTAAACATCACATAAGAGTATTTGAACAAAACTATATTATTGTTATTATATTGTATGTGTTAAATATTAAAAATAGCCTGTATAGAGTGTTGCCATTACATATGACCTCCTGCAACCACTGTCTCATTTAGAAAAGGAGACTTAGCAGTCATTTTGTAATGTTACTTTCTTTTTCACCCCAACCAAGGCAAAGATAGATAAACTTGAAGAAGCCTGACTCTGTATCAACTATAATAGCATTAAAAATTGCTGTATTCAGAGAACCAGATACATAATAAACCCAGGAACATTCAGCAATCATCTTTTATTATACTGACTAGGAAGTCACTAATATTAACCTACCAAAAAATATAAAGGAATAGTACAAGCAGATGAGGAAAAATATATCAGAATTTGGAATGTACTCTTGGCCTTCTTGATTCAAGCAATTTTCAAAAGCAGAACTGCATTTTGATTTCAGTTTTCAATTACTTTTATTTAGTAAAACCCCATCCCTTTTTTTCCCCTGTTCTCCCATTTAATAAAATCTTCCTTTTGGCTCATGTTGATACAGGTGGATTTTGTTAATTGCAACAACAAATAAAAAACCATGCATATAAGTTGTGTAAATAAGGGAAGGGTGGGGCTGGTAGGGCTGATGGGAAGCTGTTAAGGGGAGTCTGAACTGCCAGTGCAGTCTTGAATTCCCAGTCCTGTCTGATTCACACTTCAACTCCAGGGAGTCCTGGAGAATGTTTCTTTTCATGTTTAGGTTCCGATCGACTACAGTATCAGAGAAGACAGGGTTTTTAATTATTGTTCAAATCCTAACTTTGAATATTTATAGACCGGGAATTCATCTAGTCAAAAATGTCCAACTTAAAAATACATCAGAGTTTCTAATGTCATTTATTTGCTCATGAAAATGTTTGGCTCCTGCCTCAGCAAATCTAACTTTCTCAGTCAATGAGAGGATGTAAGAATCAAAAAGAGCTGGTTCTGATAGGAAGTTTGAGAGTTGCTGTTTCTGACAAGAGTTCCATTCCAAAAACTTCTAATTTTGAAATTTCGTTATGACCAAATCTGGGTGTTTAACTTTCCTGTTAATTGAATCTAGTCTACTAATTCTTACCATGAGATATATTTTCATAATAACTTTGATTTTGTTGAGGATATTTTCTCAGTTCAAATTCCATTTTGTCTCTTTAGCTTAGACATTTATAATTTGCTGTTTCAATAGTTCTATTTCTAACTAATTCTATTTCAATTTGCTGTTTCAATAGTTCTAACTAATTCTAACTAATGAATTCTAACTAATTCATTATTGAATTGAAAATTATCACTCATTCTTTAGCCATTCTCATATTAAGTTTTCAATATGGAGAATAGGACATTTTTGGTTTGCTTCAAAAGCATTCTGGTTTGCTTTTGATTTTATATTTTATAAAGAATTCTAAGAAACTATATTGGTGGCCATCTACAGAAATCCATATTGCATTGTGGATGTCAAGCCCACAGGGGTGTTTCCAGGCAACTTGCAGTGCCTGATTTTCCTTTTACTGCCCTCTTCACTGGAACCATCTTTACTCTGCACTATTTCAACATTTTATGTGGCTTTAAACCTAAGTACATGACTCAAAACCATCTTACTGAGACAAAAAATCTGTTTGCAATGAAATTCCTTATTTTGTCTTCTCTTTACTTCAAAATTTCTTTTTATTTTTAGTTACATTTAGATTTTATTTTTTTTCTCTTGGGAGGACTATTCCTTCTCTGTACTGAGACTAACTCCTACATTTTTGCTCTTTATCTTGTCTTCCCTGTCTCAGTGTCTGATAGCATCAACTATTCTCCTAGCTAGCAAATTTAATCTTTTGTTCTCTACTGGATTCCTCCCTTCTGCCTTCAAATAGGTCTTCCTTCTCTTGAACAAAGGAGTTGCTCCATAAATATTTAATGAGGTGATATTAAATTGAATTGAACTTAGTTCCTCAAGCTCAGTGATACCAGGGACAAATTCAAAATTCAAAAATGGGGATTTCTGATTTTAGTTCAATATTGTTTCCTAAGAAAAACCATAATGTTCTTGAAGATAGATGTGAGAACTGTCTCCCCAAGACACACTGACTATATTTATTGCAATATAAATATTTAATCCACTAAAATATGTTGTTTGTCTACCCATCATTAAAACTATTGATTCCGATATATGATACTTGGTCTTTAAAATATTGTGTGATATATTATACATGTAAATAATTAGTTACAGAATTGGAAACATTAGTTAAGTATGATAGTTAAATTATTTTGAAAAGCTTATTTTATTATGTCATTTATATGCTGCTATAGGTTTATTTAATACCAAAGACTTTTTATTACTAAATTGATTATTACTTACTAGCTCACCATGTTTATCTCTAGGAGATCCTTAAGGAAAAAGTCACTATTAATTTAAAATCAATTATAGTGGTTGAATGAAGAACTATTATCCTTTTTTTCCTGTCTAGAAAATAAAGTCATAGGACCAAAACAATGCATCACTTTCTAGAACTGAAATCTATTCTGGGAAAAAAATGATGTCAGTTACACACACACAGAGCAAATTTTAACTAGATATAATTCTGTTATATTTAATGTGTTGGTTACTTCTTCTTGGATTGTTGTAAATATAGCAGGATGCAAACTGTACATTTTGCATATATTCACATGACATAATCAGATGTCCAGAACTTAAATGTTACATAAAGGAGTATTTCCTTGAATAAGGATCTCAATATCTGTTTTCTATCTTGTGCAGTTCTATTTTTATGATTCTCTCTTTACTGAAACAATATAACTTTAAAATAAGGTATTTATTTGTTTATTATAGGTATGGGACCATATCTTCTTAAACTGGGACCTTGAATTCTGAGTTTTAGTAGCTGTTTAGAAAGACATCTAGAGACAATAAATATTATTTAGAATTTCTTGATACATTTTGATTAATTTGACTGCTTTTTGGTTTTGCATATATCAAAATTCCATGCATACCTGCTTTTATATTACATTTTCTAAAATTTTTTGACATTCCATCACCTGAATACTGTTTGCATTGTATAGAAAATTAGTTTTTATGTGTGTGTAGACAGCCGTTATGATTTTTAAAATTCTAATCTATTATCATACTGAATTTATATTGTTTGTAAGAAATTTTAAAAAAAGTTCAGGATAAATGAGAACTAAACTTCTTATGTGTCTTCAACTTACACATGGCTTTATTACCTATGGTTGATATTTTTACCACTTATCAGAATAAAGAGATAATCATGTATGTTATAAATGTATTTGACATTAGTAATGTCATGCCATACCAGTAGCATCTAAAAGATGATGACGAGTTTTAAGCAGGATTAGCTAGGATGTTTATATTT